GTTAGCCAGGATGGTCTTGATCTCCTGACCTTGTGATCCGCCCGCCTCTGCCTCCCAAAGTGCTGGGATTACAGGCGTGAGCCACAGCGCCTGGCCTTTTTTTTGTATTTTTTAGTAGAGACGGGGTTTCACCGTGTTAACCAGGATGGTCTCGATCTCCTGACCTCGTGATCCGCCTGCCCCTTGGCCTCCCAAAGTTCTGGGATGACAGGTGTGAGCCACCGTGCCTGGCCTAAATACTTGAATTTTAAAAATTAAGACTTTTTAAAAATAGAGACAGTCTCGCTAAGTTGCCCAGGCTGGCCTCAAATTCCTGGCTTCTTCCCGCCTCAGCCTCCCAAGGTGTTGGGATTACAGGCATGAGCCACCAAGCCTTGTCAAGACATTTTTTTTTTTTTTTTGAGATGGGAGTTTCGCTCTTCTTGCCCAGGCTGGGATGCAATGGCACGATCTCGGCTCAGTGCAACCTCTGTCTCCCTGGTTCAAGTGATTTTCCTGCCTCAGCATCCCGAGTAGCTGGGACTACAGACATGTGCCACCACACCTGGCTAATTTTCATATTTTTAGTAGAGACAGGGTTTCACCATGTTGGCCAGGTTGGTCTTGAACTCCAGCCATCACGTGATCCGCCCGTCTTGGCCTCCCAAAGTGCTGAAATTACAGGCGTGAGCCACTACACCCGGCAAGACATTTTTTAAAAGCCCATAGCTCATAGTTTGCCTCATGGGTCCGTTTCCCTTTGTGGGAGGAAATACTCTTTCTGACTTTCCCTATAGGTCTGTAGCACCCATAGGATGCTCCATGACAGGGCTGCTGGGTTAGCATCCCGGAGCTGAGGAGGGCTCAGGATGGCAGTGCTGGGCTTGGAGGGGAAGAGGCAAGGGGGTGGGGTATTGGGTGTCAGGGCCAAGGGTAAAGGAAAAAGGGGCAGGCAGGGAGTCTGGAGACCTGGTGCCTCAAGCAGTTCCCTTCTTTCTGGACGTGATGGGGTTGGGCTTATCCAGAGGTCTCTGACACCTTTGTCAGCTCTCAGACTCTGAGGACAGCATCTGGTCTCCTGCGGTGGGAGGCCCAGGATGTGGGACAGATCTGGAAGCTCAGCATAGAATGAGCAGGGAAGTGGTAGGGGCAGGGAGGCTGAACAGTGAGGCCAGTGTGGATGAGGACAGAATACTGGGGTGGGGGTTGGAGGCTGGGCTATGAGCATCCAGGAGTGCAGGGGTAGTGCAGTGACAGAGAGGACCCTGAAGAAGTCCGCTGTGAGAGAGAAGAGGGAGGAGGACTTGGACCAACCCCAGCCTGGGGGCCCAGGACAAGATTCAGGGAGATATTGAAGGTTTGCTGGGCCCACAGACCAGAGGCTGCCCACTCAGCACTGTGGGGGGATGGGCAGAGAACGCAGGAATCCAGGCCCAGAGGAGGGACTCCGAACCACAAGGACCAAGGCCAAGAACAGGCCTCCCGCCCTGGGCAGGGTGCCAGAACCATACATGGGTAAGTCCACGATGAATTCAATGCTAGAAACTGGCTCTTTTGGAGCAGTTGTACCTGAGGGAGGGTTTGCACTGTAAACACCCAATGTCAGCTGGGTGTGGTGGCTCATGCCTGTAATCCCAATACTTTGGGAGGGCAAGGTGGGAGAACTGCTTGAGGCCAGGAGTTTGCGATCAGCCTGGACGACATGGTGAGACCTCGTCTCTATTAACAATGCAAAAAATAATAATAATAATGATAAAATAAAATAAATAGCCTAGCTGGGACACTTGGGAAGCTGAGGTGGGAGGATCGTTTGAACTCAGGAGGTTGAGGCTGCAGTGAACTGTGATCACACCACTGCACTCCAGCCTGGGTGACAGAGTGAGACCCTGTCTCTAAAAAAACCCCAGTGTCATGAGGAACTCTGAAAGGGTCCAGTGGGGTAAGGCTGGCAGCCGCCAGGAGAGAAAGGGCCCTTTAATGCCTCCTGCCTCTGGGCCTTTGAACATGCTGTTCCCCTTTCTTGGACCACCTTCCCCACACACCTGGCAAAGTCCCACTCATTTCAGCTTAGATGCCATCTCCTCCAGGAAGCCTTCCCACACATTCAAAGGAAGATTGTGGGTCTCATGAAACTCCCAGAACCTCCTCCCTCATAACGCTGCCACCATATGCTATAATTGCCCCGGAAGAACCTATGAGCTGTGAAGGAGGGACCCTGTCCTCCCTATGTGTCCCCAGCCCCAGCAGAATGCCTGGGTACAGCAGACGCCCTGTTAATTTCTGCTAGATGGACATTGAAGAGCTGGGAAAACACAGGGATCCAAGTCAAACTCAAGGAAGCCAGGCAATTTTGTGCCAGGGATCCAAACAGGAACCTCTGGTAATTGCATACAGCAGTTTGGCTGGGATTAAGTGGCTTGAACCCTCTTGTTAGGCTAATAACAGAAGATATCAAAATCCTGTAAAGAATACAGCAACACTCAAGAGGAGTCCAAATTTGATCCAAAAAATCATTCCAGATTTTTTTTTTTTTTAAGTGTTCTTGGCTGAGCTCCAGGAAGGGCTCTAGTTCCAGGACACACATCACTGGGACTTAGCTTTTCTCTGACTCCGTCTCCCTCAGGCCTGGCCCGCTTGCATCAGGAGAACAAGGATGTTTGCTGCCCAGGCAAGGATGTTTGCTGCCAAGTCAAGGTTTCCATCCATCCTTCCTTTCTCCCTTTCTTTCTGAGATAGGGTCTTGCTCTGTCACCAGGCTGGAGTACAGTGGCATGATCTTGGCTCACTGCAACCTCCGCCTCCCGGGTTCACGCCATTCTCCTGCCTCAGCCTCATGAGTAGCTGGGACTACAGGCGCCCACCACCATGCCTGGCTAATTTGTTTTTATTTTTAGTAGAGACGGGGTTTCACCATGTGAGTCAGGATGGTCTCGATCTCCTGACCTCGTGATCTGCCTGCCTTGGCCTCCCAAAGTGCTGGGATTACAGGCGTGCACCACCACGCCTGGCCGCTCTCTCTTTTTTTAAGAGATGGGGTCTTGATCTGTCACCTAGTGCAGTGATGTCCTCATAGCTCACTGCAGCCTTGAATTCCTGGGCTCAAGCAATCCTCCTGCCTCAGCCTCCTGAGTAGCTGGGACTACAGGTGCATGCCACCACACCCAGTTAACACTGTATCATTTCAATTTCCTTTTTTTAGGAACTTTAGTTTATCTGACTGACCAACATGTCTTTCATATATTTTAAGTAATTCCCAGAATTTTAACAAATTAAAATTTTAGCTGTTCCTTGAAAAGGCCAAATCATCTTAAACATTAAAAATAAGATTCCTAACATGTACAATTTCCTCAATATAAAAAATTAACAAGCTGGGCATAGTGGTGCTCGCCTATAGTACCAGCTTTCAGGAGGCCTGAGGCAAAAGGACTGCTTGAGCCCAGGAGTTTGAGGCTGTGGTGAGCCATGATCACACCTGTGAATAGCCACTGTACTCCAGCCTGAGCAACACAGCAAGACCTTGTCTCTTAAAAAGATTAATTGTGGCCAGGAGTGGTGGCTCATGCCTGTATTCCCAGCACTTTGGGAGGCCAAGGTGGGGAGATCACGAGGTCAGAAGATTGAGACCATCCTGGCTAACACGGCAAAACTCCATCTCTACTAAAAAAATAAAAAATACAAAAAATTAGCCAGGCGTGGTGGCGGGTGCCTGTAGTCCCAGCTACTCGGGAGGCTGAGGCAGGAGAATGGCGTGAACCCAGGAGGTGGAGCTTGCAGTGAGCTGAGATCGCGCCACTGCACTCTGGCCTGGGCAACAGAGTGAGACTCTGTCTCAAAAAAAAAAAAAAAAAAAGATTCATTGTATGGCAACCCACAGAGTGGGAGAAAACATTTGCAAATATCATATAAGAGATTTTATTCAGAATATATAGAGAACTCCTAAACCCTAACAAAAAGCCCAAAAATGGACAGAAGACATGTATAGACATTCCTTCAGAGAAATTACAAAGAATTCAATAAGTACCGCATAAAAAAATGCTCAACATCGGTAATCATTAGGAGAATGCAAGTCAAAACCACAATGTGATACCATTTCATACCCATTAGGATGACCATTACCGAAAAAAAGAAAGGAAAAAAAACATATTGGCAAGGATTTGGAGAAATCGGGATTCTGAGGCATTATTGGGCGGGAAAGTAAAATGGTGCAGCTGCTGCAGAACACAGTATGGTGGTTCCTCAGAATATTAAACACAGAATTACCTGATCCAGCAAGTCCACTTCTGGTATAGATCCAAAAGACCTGAGAGCAGAGTCTTTTTTTTTTGAGATGGAGCCCAGGCTGGAGTGCAGTGGTGCCATCTGAGCTCACTGCAACCTCTCCTCCCAGGTTTAAGATTCTCCTACCTCAGCCTCCCGAGTAGCTGGGATTACAGGCGTGAGCCATCACGCCCAGCTGATTTTTGTATTTTTAGTAGAGACAGGGTTTTACCATGTTGGCCAGGCTGGTCTTGAGCTCCTGACCTCAGGTGATCCACCTGCCTCGGCCTCCCAAAGTGCTAGGATTACAGGCATGAGCCACCGCACCCAGCCCGTATTTAATTCTAAATCTTTTTGGGGTTAAAAAAATGCTTTTTCACTAAGGAAACTGTTACTTCATCCCAATGATCCTGGGGTTACCTTCCCAAGAAAATTCTGAAAGATACCTTCCCTTCCTGGTGACATTGTGTGACAACCTGTGATACAGTTGGGACATGAGGCCTAGAGATGCAGAAAGATAGGACAGTGTTTCATAGGATCTTGACTGACAGGCTGAGCATCTTTGAACAGTCATGGTATCATGGACTCCAAAACTTCACGAATGGGTTGCAGTCACAATGGGTTGAGCTGACCAAGGCCCTGCCCAGGTCTAAATTTTTTTTTTTTTTTTTTTTGAGACAGAGTCTTTCTCTGTTGCCCAGGCTAGGGTGCAGTGGTGCGATCTCGGCTCACTGCAACCTCCGCCTCCTGGCTTCAAGCAATTCTCCTTCAGCCTCCAGAGTAGCTGGGATTACAGGTGCCTGCCACCACACCTGGCTAATTTTTGTATTTCTAGTAGAGACGGGGTTTCACCGTCTTGGCCAGTCTGGTCTTGAACTCTCGACCTCGTGATACACCTGCCTCGTCCTCCCAAAGTGCTGGGATTACAGGTGTGAGCCACCCCACCTGGCCCAGGTCTAAATCTCATCTCCATCCTTCCTCTCAAAGACTGCCACATCATTGGACTGGATGGTGCATTTCTTTGGTTTTTAAATTGCATGTATGTGTTCCTGCCTAGCTCTAAAGATGGACAGATTTGCTGTGACTGCAATATTTTTGCATTTAGTAAGGTTACAACTTATAAGTACATCTCAGTGACCTAAAATTGGGTTCTGAATCTCTCCAACTTTATCTGACTCTAAGTTACATTGTGCAAGAAGGCGTTCTTATGACACACATCCCTCTCTGGCTGGCGTTTTGCAAACATACCTTCAATCTTAGTCTTGAAGTGAGGGTATCTATTGAGAATCTCCACCTGCTTCTTCCAGTCGAATTCATTCCGCCAGTAGGAGATGACTTTCTTCAGGTAGTTGGAGTTGAAGCCATAGTGGAAGCAGCTGTCCTCCAAAGGTGGGGTGAAACGGAACTTATCGATCCTCCGGTGTAAGTCCTGGAGCAAAATGCAGGACCCCAAGTTGAGAGGGATGGGTAGGGCAGGGCACAAGAGCAAAGTTTGTTTCCAGAAAACACAGCAAACCCTGCAGCCACAAGACACTGCACTCTGGTAGTGGCAAAGCAGTTTCCCACATCACTGTCTGCTCCCAAAGCGGATGTGTTCTTCCCTTCTTCCTTCTTCACTGTAGACTTCGCATTTCTTTTTCTTTCTTTTTTTTTTTTTTTGACAGGGTCTCACTCTGTTGCCCAGGCTGGATCAGTGGCGTGATCTCGGCCCACTGCAACCCCCACCTCCCAGGTTCAAGCGAGTCGTGCCTCAGCAACCAGAGTAGCTGGGATTACAGGTGTGAGCCACCATGTCTAGCTAATTTTTGCATTTTTAGTAGAGATGGGGTTTTGCCATGTTGGCCAGGCTGGTCTTGAACTCCTGGCTTCAAGTGATCTGTCTGCCTTGGCCTCCGAAAACAGTGGGATTACAGGTGTAAGCCACTGCGCCCAGCCCATCTTTTACTCTTGAAGTGTATAAACAACACACATGGCTGGGCGCGGTGGCTCAAGCCTGTAATCCCAGCACTTTGGGAGGCCAAGACGGCGGATCACGAGGTCAGGAGATCGAGACCATCCTGGCTAATACGGTGAAACCCCGTCTCTACTAAAAATACAAAAACTAGCCGGGCGAGGTGGTGGACGCCTGTAGTCCCAGCTACTCAGGAGGCTGAGGCAGGAGAATGGCGTGAACCCGGGAGGTGGAGCTTGCAGTGAGCCGAGATCCGGCCACTGCACTCCAGCCCGGGCGACAGAGCAAGATTCCATCTCAAAAAAAATAAATAAATAAAAATAAATAAAAATAAACAACACACATCTTTAATTTACCCAGGTTTCCCTATAGCGGGAGTCGGCAAACTTTTTCTGTAGAGGGCCAGATAGTAATATTCTAGGCTTTGCAGGCTGCAGTGACTCCACTCTGTCTTCCTAGTGTGAAGGCAGCCACAGCCAATGCACAGATGAATGCGGGTGGCTGTGTTCCAATAAAACTTTATTTATGGACAGCCATAGCCAATGCACAGATGAATGGGGGTGGCTGTGTTCCAATAAAACTTTATTTATGGACACTGAAATCTGACTGCTATATAATTTTCACATGTCACAAACTATTATTCTTCTTTTGATTTTTTTCCCCCTAACTATTTAAAGAGGTAAACACTATTCTTGGCATAGGGGTCATGCTAAAACAGGTAGCAGGCTACATTTGGTCTATGGGCCATGGTTTCCTGACCCCGATATACAACACTGAATGATACATTATAACTCAGTTGGGATAAAAAATTACAGGCCAGGCCCAGCACAGTGGTTCACGCCTGTAATCCCAGTGCTTTGGGAGGCTGAGGTGGGTGGATCACCTGAGGTCAGGAGTTCAAGACCAGCCTGGCCAACATGGCGAAACCCCATCTCTACTAAAAATACAAAAATTAGGTGGGCATGGTGGAAGGCGCCTGTAACCCCAGCTACTCGGGAGGCTGAGGCAGGAGAATCGCTTGAACCCGGGAGGTAGAGGTTGCAGTGAGCCAAGATCACACCACTGCACTCCAGCCTGGTGACAGAGCCAGACCCTGTCTCCAAAAAATAAAAAATTTACAGACCAGGAGAGAGGGTGCAAGCCTCATGGGCATGTATTAGGCTAAAAGGCCAGCCCCAGTGGGAGGAAGTTCATGTCAGCTTAGGGAGCCTCTCAAGTGTCACTATTCTCAGGCTTCTTCTCAACTGTTTCAGTCACTCCCGAACAGATTTTGGAAATCTCAGACTCCCTTAGGAGTCTAATTCCGTAAAGGAGTTTTCCTCAGGACTCAGCTTTGGCCCTAAATAGCAAGGCTGCAGCAAGCAAGTCCTACCCAGGGAGCCTCAGCCTGGTTGTTCTTGGGTTTAGCCCAGCTTCTGCTTTTAAATCCCTTCTTCCTTGGAACTCTCATGACTTTTTATCCATGCTTTTTGTGACATTTATCCTTATCCATCTTTTTTTTTTTGAGACGGCGTTTCACTCTTGTTGCCCAGGCTGAAGTGCAGTGGTGCGATCTTGGCTCACTGCAGCCTCTGCCTTCTGGGTTCAAGGGATTCTCCTGCCTCAGC